TCTATCAACACATTACCATGGGAAACATATCAGTCAATAGTTCAGGCAACCAAGCAAAACTCGTATAGGTCCTCCCATATATTGCCTTCAAGTTGACCAATCTCAGCACACCTATCAAATATGTATACCTTTTACAACCCAGGTATAAAGACTTCTTTGCATCACTCTACAAACTCTCATAAGTATGTGCTCACAAAAAGGACTCCATTCCAACATCACAATCATATCCTATACTCTATCATCCTAGGCATTCACAACGACTTCTTTCTCTTAGGATATGGAACTCAATCCTTTGGCTTCACCATGCCATATCAATTTTCTATACCTTAGATTTATCCCACCACATAGCAAATACTCTCTTATTTCAACAATGCCTAGTAGACTCCCATTTAAACATTTCACACAAGGACAAAAATATAGTCCATTTTTACTAGGAACATTCCTTTTATCAAATTCAAGAAAATGTTCCACACCTTTCCAATATTCTTCACTTGTTCTCCTAGAACTCATGCAACTACGACCCATTGTTTAACCACCTAATTAATCAACATACAATCTGTTATATTTAAATTTTTCCTAAATTAATTTAAAATTTTTTGATAGAGTTTTCCCTTAAAATAAGGCACCACTTCGATCAAGTTCTACTCAAATCTATGCTAGTTGAAAATTTAAGTGAATCTAACAAATTTTTAAAGATATAACAATTCAATAAAAAACATGAATAAAAATTATGACTAAATTATATACCTTGTTAGTTTCAAGCATATTTTTTCATTAATATAAATATTACCAAAAAATTTTAGCAGAGTTTTCCCTTAAAATAGGACATTTCAAAATTTCAACAATCACAAAATTCTATCTAGCAATAATTTGAAACATAACAATTCTCAAACCTTAACAAGAATAAAAAAAATTCATCACAATAAATTTAATCCCTCTAATAAAAGAATCTAAAAATCCCAACATTTTAGAGAAATAAAATAATTATAAAAAATAAATAAATACAATTTCAATAAAAAAACATACAGAAAAAATAGTAAAAATTCATGTCTATAAAAAATATGTATGAGACTTACTTGGAGTCTATATGAGAAGAAAATGCAACTCCCAAAACTCACTTGAGGTAATACACTATAATGGAAGAGAAAGAAGTAGCAACTTCCGATTGGAAAATTGAATCTCAAGAAGTGTTGGATTGGAAGGCGCAGCTGAAAATTTAAAAAAAAATTAAAATCTCAATCACGATCGTGTACCAATCAAATTCGTTTAAGTCAAGGTAGATAAAAGAATTATCTTTTAAATGTCACACTTCTTTGGCTTCCTTTGGACCTTATGAGTTGACAATACAAATCTGCTCCCCTTACTAGTATTCACACAAATAGCTTACTAAGACGAACAGCGTGCTAACGCTTCTAATATCTAATGTCCGTATGTGCAGAACCATTGGATGATCTAATCTTCTAGCCTTAGATAATCATTCTCTTTCTAGAGTATTTTTGTGGCTCTTAAAATTTTATCGTCAAGTGACTTTTAATTTTGAAGCTCGACCCTTCTCTAATATAGATTAGATTTTTGGTCTTCCCTTATGAATTTTTGAAAATAATCATAATTATTTTAAAAATCATATCTTGAACCAGCAAAAATAAAATTTAATTTATCTCATAAATTCAATTTATGATATCATATCTTATTTGAATTTATTTTATAAATTCAATTACAAAACTATATGATATCTTCTCATATCATGTTAGTTATTAAATTTAATCTATTATATAAAATTAAATTTAAAAATAACACAATATAATATAATGTATAATGTATAATGTATCTATATATATTAGACATATATACAAACACAAATATATATATATATATTCAAGTGTATATATATGTATATCTATTTACCAAATAAATATTCAAATACATACACATACACATAAAATTCATTTACCCTAAATAAAACATTGCATTCATTGAATCTAAACACATTTATGATTCAATGAACTTAGACATTATAGCTCAACTTGGACTATTCTTATGTGCGACCTTGTAGACCCATATGAAGATGGCAGCAGACCAATAACACTATTAGCCCACAAGTCACAAGTAGTCTTTAGCAAGACATTATGACTACCCAATTCATATAGGGATCAATGATCTGATATAACCTATCATATAACCATATCATATTCCATTTGTCACATGATATTTTGGTCAAGTGTGTGACATTAAATTATCATTCTCCTTTACTTGACCATTACTTTCTCAATTTATGAGTGGATTGTTTATAGCAATGAAAACCCCCTTTTCATTGTAGTATGACCATACATTTTCTCAATCTTACTCATTGAGGGGCCTGGTAATATCTCTCAATTAATGTGAAGGACAAATTCCATCTTGACCACTCATATTTCTCTACATGAATATCACTAAACTCAATTATAACCTTTATGATCACCAAGTTAATGGTTAATTTTGACTAGGTCAAAATTCAATGGTCATCATGTAGGAATCCATGATGATCTCAAGTCAAAGGCCTTAATGGCAAGGTTACATATGAGATAAATTTATGACTTGTACCATGTAGCTGTCATAGCGGATCGATCAAACCCCTTATACCCTTTCAAGTGCCTACGACTTTGATTTATATCTATATAATTAATCAAAGTCATACTAGTCTTGTTTCATCTATAATCCATCATAGATGACCGACCAGGGATATTTAGGACAATCACTATAGTTTGTCTAAGGATATAGTCATCATAGTGAACATGCAATTAATATAATAACAAAAGAGAAATTCATTAAATAACAATGTTCATAATACAATGATTGGTCCTAAGGCACAATTTTCAATAAAAAGTTTTACTCATAATGGAAGAAAGAAGAAAGAAAATGGAGACTCTAAATAAAATTAAAAAAAAAACTTGACCCACAAAGATAGAAGAAGAAAATAGACCTCAAAAGCTCTAAAATGACATTAATGGCGATAACAAAAAACTCAACGGTGATGGTGGTGGACTTTGACAGTAGTGGCTCCAACCGATGATAGCCTTGCTCCTAATGATGGCTTGGGTAAAGATGGAAGCTTGAAAATGAGAGAGAAATTGGGAAGAGAGAAAATGCAAATGAATTGTTGAAAATGACGAGATGATTTGGCAGATCTGATTTAAATTGGAAATGACATCGGTTATATTTGTATAACTGATGTCATTTCCTAGTTTCAATGTCAATTACACAAAAAATGACATTGAAACTTTAACATTTTTTTATTTTTTTATTTTTAAGGTTTTCCATATCAGTTCCTTGTATAAATGATGTGGAAAACCTCTTTTACATCGGTTAGCCAACATAAAAAAACTAAGATTTTATGTTAATGCCACCACTTTTTCTTAACAACGTATCTTTAGATAAATTGACATTAAAAAATGGTGTAAGAAGGGTTTTTTAGTAGTGTTAGGGCAATTGCACTCACAAGTACTAATTAGACACGCATGGCATCTCTTATGAGACAAGCGTGAATTAGAGTTCAATGTAGGCAATGCTTTTGTGCTCTATGACAAACGAGTTTTAGCTCTAACACAAGCATGAACTAGATCCAACTAAGTCCTCTAATACATTTTAAGATTGAAACACGCGTGTGTCAATTCTCAAACAAGTGTGTATTAGACAAAGAACAAGAAATGCATTCTAGGTATTTTGCAGTGAAATGCTAGGACTTGTGAGCCTATGAATTGTTCTAAATGAATGATTTCTTACCATGCAAAGTTTAAATTAGCTCTCAACAAAGTTTTTAACAAAATATCAAAGACAAGATAAAATATAAACCTATAAGTTAAGTGTGCTCTTGCTTTTCATGCTCTTGAGGACTTGTCACTTTGATATATTGATATGCCCAAGTGACAAACCCTTTTCTCTTAGTTTTGTAATAATCAAAACATATGATTCAACAATGTTGTCTTTTCATTTCAATAAATTATTTGGCTAGAAATTTAATGTGTCATCATTTGTCATCAAATAGATTTTAGTGGATATAAATTGTATAAAATTAGCCGTCTTCACAATACAAATTTAAATATTTTTGTATTAATTTTTTATCCATTATGAGGGTTTGAACCCCTTACCTACCCACACTCCACCTATCCTTACTACCTGAATTAACTTCAAGTTTTTTATTGATTTAAATATTAGTTTCAAAACCTTTATAAAACAAAAGTTTTTTAAAATTAATTTATATTTCATACAAGCTATTTAAGCTAGATGTTGACTTGTTTGCTACATGGAATTTAAGATTGCTCATGTTGTCCAAAGATAAATAATATGGCTTTCTAAAGTAATTTAAAATGTTCACCAAAAATTATTTTGATTTGAATAAAATGTTTACTATACAAAAATTTTGCAAATCAATTCAACATCTTAAAAATGCTAGAATAGAACTTTTGTTTGAATGAATTGCATACGATCAACAAGTAAAGAGTTTTATGCATGCCTTAGAACGAAAAAAGAAACAATATCCAAATTTCAAAACTTTTTATTTTTTTTTTCACTTTTAGCAAAATAAAACGGCCACTAAATATTGAGGTAGCTGATGCCGCATCACCCCAACTAGTATTCAAATGGAATGTATTCCGCTCATAACAATTTTCTAAAAACTATATTTTAATTTCACTTTATATATGTTTTGGGATTGTTACCATAGAACAAATAGAAAAAAAACTTGTCATTTTAATCTATGAAGTGAAACTAAAATTAGTTGGATTATATTATTGACCCAACATTATGGTGATCAGTATCATTTATTTGTCTAATTAATTAGACATGTATATTTTCTTTTTCCTTAATTCTAGTATTAACTTAAAATAAGTCTACATAAATCTAAAATAATAATATTTTTGCTTTCAGGTTTAATACCTGCAGAAATAGGCAATCTTTATAAGCTTGAACGGCTTGTGTTATCCAACAACAAATTGAGGGGATCTATTCCGTTGAAAATTTTTAACATGTCAACTTTGCAAGTGTTGGAACTTTCAAATAATTCTTTATCAAGTAGCCTTCCATCAGATTTTGGATGTGGCCTTCCTAATCTTGAAAAGCTATATTTATGGGGCAACAAACTTTCTGGAAATATCCCAAATACTATTTCCAATGCCTCTAAGCTGGCCATTTTGGGGTTGGAGGAAAATAATTTTAGAGGGGTTTTACCAAGAACACTTGGGGATTTAAAATACTTGGAAATCCTTCAAATAAATGGTAACAGTTTAACCACATCAGATAGTTCCAATTCCAAAACCAACTTTATTACCTCATTGACTAATTGCAGGCATTTGAATATTTTGGATCTCTCAATGAATCCATTGTATATAAAACTTCCCAAGTCCATTGGAAACTTCTCTGCTTCTCTACAAGAGTTGGACATAAACTCTTGTGGTATTAATGATAACATACCATCAGAAATCGGGAATCTTACTAAATTGATTAGACTATCTTTGGATGAAAATGTTTTGAAAGGACCAATTCCAATAACAATTGGTAGCTTACATGCTCTTCAGTTTTTGAGCCTCAAAGGCAACAACTTGCATGGTTTAGTTGTTGATGAGCTTTGTGAGATCAAACCACTTGGCTATTTACATCTAAGCCAAAACAAGTTTTTTGGAGCAATGCCACCTTGTTTAGGAAATATTTCCTCTTTAAGAGAACTTCACTTGGGCTCTAATAAGATGGCTTTTGAGATACCATCTTCCTTTTGGAATTTGAAAGATATATTGCAAGTAAACTTGTCTTCCAATCAATTTTTTGGGAATATTTCATCAAGGGTTGGGAGCTTAAAAGCTCTTACTTTATTTGATTTATCCAAAAATCATATTTCAGGCATCATTCCAACAACTATAGGCGGCTTGCAAAATCTACAAATTCTCTATTTAGCGCATAATGAATTGCAGGGATCTATTCCTATTTCATTTGGGAATTTGATAAGCTTGAAAAATTTAGACCTTTCCCAAAACAATTTGTCTGGGGAGATTCCTAAATCTTTGGAATTACTTATTGATCTTAAGTATATCAATCTCTCTTATAACAAACTCCAAGGGGAGATTCCAAGTGGAGGAGTTTTTAAAAATTTGACTCCAAAATCTATTATGATGAATCAAGCTCTTTGTGGCAACCTGCAATTCCAAATGCCTCCTTGTAGAAAGGAAACAAGACAAAGATTCACGATAAAATATCTTTTATTGAAATGCATATTACCCATAGTTATGTCAATAATTTTGGTTGTCTCAGGCATTATCCTTTTAAGACATAAACGACAGAATTCAAGAGGACTAGTTGAAAGGGATTTCCCAACTTTAGGAGTGCCAAGAAGGATTTCTTATTTTGAAATCCAAGAAGCAACCAATGGATTTGATGAGAGTAACATACTAGGAAGGGGAAGTTTTGGTTCTGTGTTCAAAGGAAAGCTTTCAAGTGGAATGATTGTTGCAGTTAAGATCTTCAATGTTGATTCACAAGTAATGTTAAGGAGCTTTGAACAAGAATGTGACATACTGCGTAATGTGCGTCATCACAATTTGGTAAAGGTTATAAGCTGTTGCTCTAATGATGTTTTCAAATCTTTGGTAATGGAGTTCATGCCCAAAGGGAGCCTTGAGAAATGGTTATATTCTCACAACTATTTTTTAGATTTTTTTCAAAGGTTGAATATAATGATAAATGTAGCATCTGCTTTGGAGTATCTCCATCATGGCTTGCGAGCACCAATTGTTCACTGCGATTTGAAGCCCAGTAATATTTTACTGGATGATGAAATGATTGCTCATGTAAGTGACTTTGGAATTTCCAAAATTTTTAATGAAGGGGAATCTAAGACACACGGGGAGACAATACCTACCATTGGCTATATTGCACCTGGTAATTATTCTAAACATGTCTTGTTTTTTTATTCCTTTTCTATTTGTATTCTAACAATATATATCTTAACATATTATATTTATAAAAGCTTACTACATATATTTTTGCAATATTATATAAAATTAGTGCATGACAAATTAATAATTATGGTAAATACTACATGTGATATTAAAACACATTAATGTTCTTGATTTGATTCTTATAAATATGAAGTTTAATTGATGAACAAAAATTTATCAAAATTATCTATGCCTAGAACTTGGTATGTTAATTCTTCTAAAAAAAATGTCCTTGGATATTTCCTTCTAGTTTTTTCTTTAGACTCTTCTATTCAAATAGAAAATGAAAGAGGTTTCCTATTTTATAAGTTTTCAATCCTTGAGCTAGGTTAGTTTAATTTGATCATTGTATATGTATATTAAAATTTCAAACTAATTTATATTTGAACACTAAGATGAAGGTGTATTCTAAAATATGTGCACAAGTGGATGTATAGCTATATGTGCATGCCTGTATGCCTTTGCATGGGGTTTTGGTGTTTGAGCTTATTTGTTTCTTGTAGATGAATATCCTTTTGCATATGATCATAAAGTTTCATATCAATCTTTTAGGTTAACAAAAAATATACATATAAAAAAAATTACATTATCATAAATTAAAATACATGATGTTAATAAGAAATCACAACCTGCCACTAGAAAGTGCAACATAACTTATTTCTCAATTCTAAATGAATAATCTTCTTTAGTTATTAGTATAAATTTTATTACTTGAACCCAATTGTATGCAGAGTATGGATCTTCTGGAGTTGTTTCAACAAAAATAGATGTGTATAGCTATGGAATTATGCTATTAGAGGTGTTTACAAGAAAAAGGCCAACAGAAGATATATTTGTCTCAGGATTGAGCTTGAAGAGTTGGGTAAGTGAGTCAATGCCACATGCAATAATTCAAGTCATGGATTCCAATTTATTGCAAGGAGTACTTCATGAATATCATATAAATAATATATTGAAATGTACATCCTCCATTCTTGAATTGGCCTTAAATTGTTGCACTGATGTTCTAGAAGTACGTGGCAATATGATTGATGTTGTAGTATCATTGAACAAAATCAAGGCTTTGTTTATGCATGGACAATGATGTCATGTTTAAATAAGCATTAACTTTCTTTCAATTTGTATTGTTATTTGTTCTTTGTTTTTTTATTACATACTTTTAGAATATGTTGTACTCACTATTTATTATATGGTAAAGTAGCCATTTGATCCCTAAATTATAGGTGCAAGAGCATCTATGACCCTAAACTCATTTCTGATACATTTGTATGCCTCAACATTTAAAATCGTAACAATATGGCCGCTAGCTACCACTACGTAGAAGAATGTTGATCATTTATCATAATAAGAGAGAAGATGGTTTGACTAAATTTTCCCAAGTTGGCAACTAGCTAGTTGTGCATGATAACATTAAGCAAAAGAGTATATGGGTAATTTTAGTCAAAATTGGCGGTAACTTTCTCCTAATGTTTAAACTAGGAAAAAAAAATGAATCACTCTAACTTATGTGAACTACCCCATTTGAACTCAACTCCCCCATTTGACATTGAGAAGAATGCATTGGAAGGAACTGTGAGAGAGAAATAGATTGATTGTACAACATCCAATAAGAGAGGCATGCAATTGAATTGGAAGTAAGAGTAATGGTGTATTTTATATTTTAGGTTCGAATCACTAGGGACTTTTGAGAGATCTATGTCATATACATCATACATCATAGAAAATTGGTCATCATAGGGGCCTATTTTTTTTCTTTCAAAAAAATTAAATAAGAGAAAAAAATCAAAAGCCCATCTGTTACTACCCTTTTTTTTCTTTTAAAATGATTTTCTCTTTAGCATTTTAAATAAATACATTGCCTTTTTTATTTTGTTTTCCATTTGGGAACATTGCAAAAAGTTAAGATTAAGTCGTAGCTTATTCAAAGGTATGTACTACTCACTATGTTAAATCACTAAATTCAATCATATTGAATATATTTTGATTGCACTTTTTTTCACCATAAGGCTAATGATTCTATTTTATTATTAATTCAGCAAAATACCAGAACATGAGATATGGGTCCTTAAGGAAAATCAAAATACTAGTCTTAAACCACTTGTAGATATACAAATAACTTGTAAATTAATTATTGTCAAATTTGACAAGCCAATTGATGGAGATTACCTGGATCTAAACTTAATGGAACAAGGAGTAGGCTGTAAAGTCCACCTATATAAGACCAGGGTTGAATTGAGTTGAATAAAAACTAAAGCAAATGATGTAAGAATTAGATATAAGTTAGGAGCAATATCACCAAATAAAGCTAAGTGAAGGGTAGAGAAGCTTTTCACAAAGTGTCTATCCTAGTTCAACTCTAGCCACTTGAGCATACTTTTAATTCCCAAGATATACCCAAGATGTGTCACTAACTTTACTATTTTATTGATATAAACTAATATAGTATTAATGAATAGGAAGACAATATTTATTACATCATTCAAAAGAATTCCAATTAGAGTATGTTGGATTATGTCCTTCATGAATTTCATGACAATATACCCACAATCCCTGACTTTTTTTGTTTGCTTTGGGCACTACAATCATATAATGGATAAAAATAAAATCGAATAGTTGATTAATAATATGACATGACCTATATAGTGACGTTGCTAACATAATTAATGATAAATACATAAACCTTGACAACTGTCTATGATGTTGCTGTATCAAACTGACTGCTACCCTTTACTAGTTGTCGAAATTGTTGATCAACATCAGTGTGGTACATGACAATGGCCCTAACGTGAAATAGAAAACTTGACATGAGAAATATTCATACAAAAAGAATTACATACATATACACAAACAAATTAATCAACTTACTGATTAATTATTTCCATAATATGTGGTCTATTATAGGGATGGCCACTGTGAATAGGGTCAAGGTACCACACCCTCCCAAAAGTTAGATTGATCATAAGTAACATCCAGTATCCCTTATGATAAAAATTACAATTAGAAAGTACCATATAAATAATTAAATGTTGAATAAATTAAAGTGAAGCATCATAAAGTAACTTACCTTTCATAATAAGGTGCTATGAATATTGTCTTTTTGTCGGCACCACGTTGCTGGAAGTACTTTGAAAGCTTCTAAGATATTTTCAACCCTTGCTTAGGACTCATTATGTCATGGCTATAAGGAGAGACTATATGAGGACTGATAAATATAATCCTCCATGTTATATCTCTTCCAGTAAGCATGGTAGTGCAGAGGTTTCTTATATATCGAATAAATAAATAGAACAATAAATGATTGAAGTGTGTGTGTGTGTGTATAGCTAAATGTTTAATGAAAGGCTTCAAAAACATACCTCATATATAAGTTACATAGAATAGTGGTAGCCTCTGCGTGGTTGAATAAATCATTCAACACCTCATTGTTGACTTGGTTAAAAGACTGTGGATCAGCATACATGTTCGATAGGAAAGGGTATAGTACTCCTTCTTGCATCTCGGTATAGGTCTTTAGCAACTATCAATTTTTGTCATGTACGACTTGATGCTTAAAGGCTTGAGCCTGAGGAGCTTTAGGCAAATGGGCTTGGGGGAGAACTAGTGTCTTTTGGGAAAATGTAATAGACTCCTTGGATTTGTCAGAGCTCTTCTTATCATTTCCCCTCTTCCACTTAGTAGTGAATGTTTTCATAGCCTCCAGTGCTTTCTTTTCTACCGGCTTATCAATAATCTAATTTTTCTAACATATATATAAGATAGTTAGATATCAACTACAAAAAAAATGCAAAAGAAGTTAATTTTCAATTATGAGTTTAACAAATATACCTTTGGAGATGGTACTAAAATACGAAGAAGATGAATTGGCCTTGCAACAAAACTAAGCAATGCATCTACTATTGTCCTTGCATCCGAAATGGGGTAGGGTAGATCATGATTAGGATCCTTAGCTGTCTTCAAAGAGACTTTCACTGTCCCTTCAGGGATGTATTCATTGTGAAGCATCACTTGCCTAGTAACATTGTATATGCACCCCAGTGCAACCACATGTCTATCTTCTGCCAAACAATTAACATCGGCCTCACCCTACACAAATTAAAAAAAGAAAAAAAAATATGTGAGATGAACAATAAAAGTAGTATTATATGCAAGACTACAGTAAAATGAATAATAATACCTCAAGTAGGAGATGAGATAGGACTGTGTAACTATCATTCACATTAGGGCTATTGTCGCCCAGTAGAAGTACTAACTTATGCCAATTCAACAGCATGTCTATGAGAATAGATTGTTCTTGTATTTGCTGCTTCTATTTTGCTGGCTCTTGCCTCAACTCTTGAACCTCAATAGAAGAAGTAGCCTTTTTACTGTGCTTGAACCTATCTCTAGAGTAATCTTTTCTTATGACCCCAAAGCCAACGCCCCGAACACAACTGGGATGGTTAGTATTCCCTAATGACTTCTCTAATATATTCTCATCAACAATTTGAGTGCCTGCTAATGCCTCCTGAGTCAAAGTCTCCTGTGAAGCAAAAAAAGCAAAGTGAATAAGTAAAAATTAATAACATTATATCAATATATCATTAATTCTTACTATTGTTTTGACAACCGCTTTTGTTTTTGGGTTGTCAATATTGCCTTCTTTATTTTTTCAAGTCTCAGTCCAAATCTTGCCATAGGATATAGAACCCTCCGATGCCTGCTCTTTTTCAATCAAGCCCTTTTCAATGCTTGCATACCCCTAGCGTCCAACCTTATATGTATATTCATTCTTTTTTGTTAACTCTTTAGTTTTGGTGCTTAATGCCTTTGAGAAAAAAAAACATGACAAGTCAATTAAAATAAAAAGGAGTTGACAGCAAAAGTAACAATACATAAATAAAATAACATTACAATTGTCGAAATGAGGGAACGAATTGTATCTTCGATACCCTCTATGTTAGGGTTCGCCACGAATTTACGAGTAACAAAACTTCTAAAAGATCTTAGGGATATCCCAACTTTTTATAGAACAAACTTCTTGCGCCTCTCCTCAATCTCAAATCCTAATTGCAAGACAAACATGTCAATTTAAATAAATAATTACAAAACAAGTTTTAAAACATAAGCAAAGTAATAGTGTCTTATTGTCAAAGTTCTCCACACTGCATCCTTCATTACAGGAGTTGCATTCTTCCAAGATTTCAAAGTAATAGGCACTTAGGACTTTGCTGCCATGCCAATATAATTGATGAAGTTATGACTATCAACTACTTGATTCTTATTGTTCCCCTTGATGGTTAACTTTCTTCCTTCATTTCTTGCTTTAGTAACTTCTTCCATCACAACCAACCCCCTCTTTAATTATTATTTCTGCCTATCAAGGTCAGCCTTCTTCTTAGTTGGGTCATCATTTTGCCTACTTGGACTATTGGACCTAGAGCCAGTGTTAAGATGATCATGTTCAGTAGCCATTTACCTATGAAAGCAATAATAATCAAGATTAAATAAATAAAAAAAGAATAAGTCAAAAAATAAATAAAAAAAAATAACAACACGTGCACTTTCTTTAATAAGTCAATAATAACATAACTACCTGTTTATATTGTTCATTTTCTTTTTCTTGTTTTAACTACTTTTTTAACTAATTTCTTCTTCACTTTAACAACCTTCTTCTTTTGTTGAATTGATTTTCCCCTTCTAGAAATCCAAATTCCCTCATTATGATCATGTCTTACGTGGAAAGCATTATCTTCAATACTGTCTACACCATCATCATTTTCAAATGATGTCCTATGAAATGGATCAACTTCAACCTTATTATTTCTTCGACTTTGCTCGTTTTCTGCATCTTCTATTTCTTCAACTTCCTTGTTGCTTCATAAAATAATAGACCATTTCTTATCAGCTGGATCATAGACATAAAAAACTTTTTTGGCTTAGGAAGGAAAAATGAAAGGATCCTTTATGAACCTTTCCTTGTTCAGATTTACTTTAATTAACCCAAAGTCATCGACATCTACCCCATTCTTATATTCAACCTACTTGTAAC